AGCGGACTTCACATTTTCACAGGTCCGCTGCTGCGGTTGTGCACTGGGGTTGCAACTTGAGTTGGGTTTTACGAAAGGCAAGAACCTGAAGTTCGTCGGGATCCGTACTTGGCGAAATGCGGTGGGAGAGAAACAGTTGTCTATCAAACTCGCCTTTCCATTCTTTCTTGAAATTCGGATTCCATCAGACTCCACATTTTCATAGGTCCACCGCTGTGGTTGCCCGTTGGGGTTGCACCGCGTGTTGGGTCTTGCGGAAGGCATGAACCGGAGGTGCACCGGGATGCGAGCTCGGCGAGATTACATGGGAAAGATACAAATGTCTATCAAACTCGCCTTCCCGTGCTTTTTTGAAGTTCGGATCCCGGCGAACTTCACATTTTCACAGGTCCCCCGCTATCGTGTGGTGGCTGCAAAACGTTCGTCGTTGGATGACCAACAAGTTTCGATGACCGACGAGGTTTGCCGTCCAGTGGCGTTCGATGTCCGCCAACATTTCGATGCCCGCCGAGGTTTGATGGGGCGCCAGGTTCGATGCCAAATGAGGTTCGATGGACGCCAAGGTTCGATGGCCAGCAACGTTCGATGTGGAACAACGTTGTCACGAACTGTCTTTTGTCAATTCCCAAAAAGGGATCGACCTTTTTGACGGGTTTCTACCGTGTGGTGGACCAATTGCCTTGCGTGCTGCGTACGACCAATGGACGAGGAGGCAGGTCGAATGCAGTTCAATCGGGGAAAGTGAACCGCTCGGCTGGCATGTCGGTGCCCTGGTCGGCGAGCGGCCGATCAATCAGCCAATTGGCCAACCACAAACCGAAAAGTCGATCAATCAACTAATCAGTTGCTCGTGCCAACACTCTCCTGTCAACCGGTTTGCTGGATCGGTCGTCCGCCTACCTTTCGGGCGATCGCGCAGAAGGTGATGCCACGGTTGCAACGCAAACACACGTTCGGCTGTATGGTTGGTGGACTGCCGGATCAACCGGTCGTCCAACCGCAGTCCGAACAG